AGTAAACAATTAGTAAGAATTTTTCACTAAGAGAGAAGTTCATCTTTACTTACTGCAAGATATATAAAGTCAATTAACTTTCTATAGAGAGATAGATGCTTTGGAAATGACAAAAATCTCTTTAAACAAATCTTTTGATTTATCAAGTAAAACTTATATAAGCAATCTCCAAATAAAAGAAAATCTTTTTACTTATTTCTATACAAAACATACTTAAAATATTATACAAATCTCCTTTCTTTTCAAATATATATATATATATTAAAAGACATTATTTTTTTTCCAGAGTTTTTATTTTCTGTTAATAATAACTAGTGTTAAGTTAATTGGCACAATCTTTTAACTAGTTATCAATTTTCATTTACTCTTATATATAAAAACTGAAATTAACTTATCTCTATTAAAAAATTTATAATATATAAAACACCAATTATATTTTATATTATTCAACTACATCAAAATAATATAATGACTTACTGGATTAGAAGAGTATATAATTAGTATTCTGTACAGGTTTCAGTAAAAACAATATGCTATATTTTATCAAAACAAAACAACAAATATCTGAAACATACAAGTTCTAATAACTCCATTATCAACATTACAATCTGATCAAATAATACCATAGCAACACATCTCAAAAAACCTATATAATCAAATCAATCAAGTTATTTGTTACTTGTGCAATACTACCATTTGACTGAAACAACTAATTGTATTTAGAAACCATATTTAACAAAAGCTATAATATTATCTTTAACTATTTTCTTCTTTTCTTTAATTTTATTATATTATAATAATCTTGTCTCAAATGTTTTTTTATTTTTTATTTTTCATAACAAATAGTTCTTCAAGTTTTTCTTGTTCAAAGAATTTTTAGATAATATATTTGTTAAATAGGTGGTATGTTAATATTTATAATAATATAACTATGGTTTTGAAAATTGAAATTGAACAAAATTGCAGAAAATCACATAAGGTTCAGAACACTATTAAAAATAATGATAGGGTATATCCCATCTATTAAATTTGATATAAACTTGAAAATTGAATACAAAATTAAAAAGAATCATTAGGATCCTTAGATATATAATGTGATGCAAAAAATTTTAAAAAATTTTATTTATTCATTATTCAAAAACTACTGCATAGAAATTAATAAAAAACATCAAAATAAAGCTAAAAATCTAGAAATTTTATTAATATATAATTAATAATTAATTCTTTTCTCATTATTTTCAATTATTAATTCACATATCTTTTTTATTGAATCTATAAAATTATTTAAAACCTTATTTGAAATTTTATCCTATTCTTCCATTATAAATTGTTCTAATTTTAAAATATTTTTTGATAATCTTATTTCTATATTTCTTTTAGTAATAGTTTAAAGGTTTTAATAGAATTTAAATTTGGATTATTAGAAAGCCAATCAATAATTTCAAAAAAATTTTCATTTAAAAATACTTTAACAATTTTATTTGTATACTTGGAATCATTATCTTGTTGAAAATATCAATTGTTTCCAAGTAGTCTATTAATTTCTTGTTTATGATTTTACAAAATATTGATATAAAATTTTACATCTATAATTTTTTTAAAACAAAAAAGAAAAGTTTTTTCTTTTATATAAAATTCTTTCCATGCAAAGATTTTAGTATAATTTTTAAGCATTCTTTTAACTAGTCTTACATCTTTATATTATTAAGTAATTGTATTTTTAAATAATTGAAATACTGTTTCATTAGAAAATAATATTTTTTTCTAGTTATCATCAAAATATTTTTTTGTCCAAATAATATGAGCTTCTTTATAAACAGTAGTAAGTATAGGTGTTTTTAAAAGTAAATTATTTTTGTAATTCATATTGGTCAAATGTTTTAAAATTGTTAAATGTGATACTTTGGTATTAATATTTGATAATTTAATTATCAAAGTTCTTGAAAAAAGTTTTGAATTATGATATAAATATTGATTAATTGCTTTTAATTCATGTGTTGTAATCTTTTTAAAACAATTACTATTAGATTTTCTTGAATTATTATCTTTTAAATTTGATTTTTTGAGATTATAATAGATAATTGACATGTTTATATCAGTTTTGAAATATATTTCATATGCAGAAATAATTTCATTATTTTACAAATGTAATATAGTTTGTCATTGAGTATTTTTTTTAGAAGGTAACATTGTAAAAATAAGTTTGTAACAAAAGTAAAATGATCAAATAATTTTATACACCTATATATATTATTTGAAATATATTGTATATATATTTAAAATTTCATATAAATTGTTTTTATTTTGAAAAAGTTATATGCAATTATATTATATAAATAATATTTCAAAATTTTTTGCACATTACTGTAACTCATAGTTCAATATTAATCATATAACTTTACTCTATTAATAAAAATAATAAATATGTCTTACTTTAATATTAAAAAAAATTGATTTCAAATTGAGATATATAAAAGTCTTTAAAACTTCAAAAAAAACTTTTTCAATAAATAAAAATAATATTATTAAAATATAAAAATTAAAAAAAAATTTTTAAATCTTTGACAAAATAGTTAAGGAATATATATATAGTATATATATATATATTATAAATTCCTTAATTATTTATATAATAATAATCTTCTCTGTAGAGATGATCTGCAGGCTTTGACTTTATTAAACAAATGGGATCTTAATCCCAATTAATGGATAAGCAATATATCATCCCCATAAATCGCATCTAGAGACTCTTTGGTTATAGACGGGTGAGCTAGGTCAGGGAAATTTATACATACAATTTATATTTGTAATGGTTTATTTTGATTTAATAAATAAATGACACTAATCTGATTGAGGGAAAAAAAAAATAATAATATAATAATAACCCTCTCTAAAGATTAAAAATCTTCAAGTATAAAGTTTCAAGAAATACTTTCTTGAAAGTATCCTTAAATATTTTTGGTCAACAATGAAATAATAAAAATTAAATGATTTTTAACTACAAGTAATCAAACTAAATAATAATCAAAAAGAGTTTTTGTTTTACCAATGCAAATCTTTTTCTTTTCTTTTTTCTTTTTATTTTTAATTTTTTAAAAAAATAAAAATTTTTTATCTCCATAAGATTACAGTAGTAATGTAGGGATAACAGTCCTGAATAAAGGCTGGCTGTGATGTTTTAGACTGGTAAAAGTACCAGAATAAAATTAACAATATTTTTATTTCCCATTATTACATCTAGAGACCTTAGGCTTACAACAGGTATGTTGCATAGCAATACAATAGTTTGGTATTATCATAATATTTCTAATACAAATGTATAAACTTGCAACCTGATTTGGAGTAATAAAAAAAAAAAATATATATATATATATATGATGATTTACAATGCTGATCAAAAATAAATAATCGCTCGAACGCGTTTTTACCTTTTCTGATTATCTGTTATGTCGATAAATTTTACGAATAGTAGTTATTTTAATTACTTTAAAATTTCAGCTTTTATTTTATATTTAAAGAAGTATATAAATCGACCGTAGAGTTAACTCTTTGCTGAATGTTTTCGATGGGTCTTGGATAATAGTTTTTGGAAAAGGTGCGTTTCTTTCATAAAAAGGTAACTCCTGGTAAACGCACGTGGAGACTTAGGAGAAATACTGGGTTTTGATACTGGTAACCACTCCAGGTGTTCTTAAGTCAGGTGCCGGTAAAAGTAGTAATACTTCTAACGAACTGTTACTACTTTTACTTTAGTCTGGTCTCTTAAGCTAGGGGAATTAACTTTTCCTTATTTTAAGATTCTTTATAAGATCTACGATTAATCAACTACGATCTCTTTAAGACTAAGTAGGAAATTCACTAACCCTAATACTCTTCATAGTTAGTGTTAAACCGTTCGGATCAAGTTTAGATAAATCGAAAAGATATCTAAAGGTGAATAAGTAATTATTTACATATAATATTATATAATTCTAATAATAAATTATTTTTAGAGATAAGATCACGAGAAGTTTAAAGCTAGGCAGGAAAAAAATTTTATTTATTTATTAGATCAGGTTTGATCCATTTGACAGTAATTCGAGTTTAGTTATTTAGAAGTGTTCTCATCAAACGTCTTTATTATTATTATTATTATTATTACCACATAATTATGACATTTCGAACTCAGATTTGGATAATAAAATTAATAAAACGTATTATTATTTCGATAAGTTTTACGAATAGTAGTTAACTTTGTAAATCTAGATTGTCGTACCATAGAGTTAACTCTTTCTTTTATAACAAGAAAACTCCTGGTAAACGCACGTGGGGACTTGGGAGAAATACTGGGTTTTGATACCGGTAATCACTCCTTAAGTCAGGTGCCGGTAAAAGTAGTAATACTTCTAACGAACAGTTATTACTTTTACCTTAGTCGAGTTAGAGGACTTATTTAAGAACTTTATAAAGATCTATTATTTCAAAAGGTGAATCAGTTATGAATCTCCCTTTAAGATTAAGTAGGAAACGCACCAACTCCGATACTCTTCATAGTTAGGGTTAACGTTCGGGTCAAGTTTAGATAAATAATTATTTTTAGAGATAAGATCACGGAAAGTTTAAAGCTAGGCGGGAACGCGCCCATAGAATGTTAAATTCGGTATTGAACAATTTTCGTACAAAAATTGAAACCCCATTTTCACTTTGAACCGCATCTTTTTAAGTAAACTTATGTTCTGTTATATACATTATTTTATTACAAGTAACAAATATTTAAACAATGTGATATGGATAAAAGTTGCGAAAAAAACCGTGACTGATAGTAAATGTGAAATTTCTTCAATGCTAGTTGATGCATAGTATGAATTAAGAATTTTGAATTTTGATGTGGAAATCAATTACTGTTACAAAGATAATAAATAAAAATTAACCCCCAAAATAATAATTTATACCCCTAACCAATGTACTAAATCTAAATAAAATGACATCTTGTATATTGGAAGTAAAGTGGATAGATTTTTTTATTGCGTAGTACTCCGATTACGATTAAGTGACCATCCTTTTAGTGTCATGCGCCTCTCGTTAATGCGTTCTTTAAGTGTATTACTGTGCTTGATCGTCGGCATTGCCGTGATCGTGTCACCATTAGGACTTGGTAGACTATTGCTTCCTTCTAATGACCCAGAGGCACGTTTAGTGTACAAAGTCTGATTATTTGTATTAACCCCTTGTAAATTAAGGGAGCTTCTTGAATTGATATTTGCGGCCATCGCTACCCGCGTTATGATTGAAGAGTTTGGTGAAATAGGTGAATTTGGTGATGCGGGTTCGGCAGTTAGTGACGGCGTTCCATATAATGACGGAGTTCGGTAAGGAGATTTATTGATATTTAATGGGGGAAGGAAAAATGGTGAAGGTGATAATGAGGCAGGCTCTGCACGATTTTGCGCTGTTGTCTTTTGCGTTAATTGAGATTTTGATTTTTTACGTTCTGCTAATCGATAAATCTCTTCTGAAAAATTCCTGTGGAAGACTAATTA